GGGCCGAAACGTTGTAATAAATATGGCGACAAAGATGAGGACAAGAGTCTGAATAATGTAAATAGTGTACATAATACCTCATCTTAGAAATATAGACAGATACTGAAGGGCCGAAACGTTGTAATAAATATGGCGACAAAGATGAGGACAATAGTCCGAATAATGTAAATAGTGTACATAATACCTCATCTCAGAAATATAGACAGATACTGAAGTTTCGTTTTGTTTCCATTCTCTCTAAAACCACGTCGTTGCTCACATGTTCGGCCCATGGTATCCTCAGCGTCTTTCTGTAGAACCGCATTTTTGTTGCTTCAAGTCTCTTCGTCTTTGAGGAGATTGTCCAGCATTCGCTGCCATACAGTAGGACAGATATCATGTAACCCTTCAGTACTCTTTTCTTTGTTTTTAAGAAACTTTTTCTATCTCTTAATACTCTGCTTAGCTTTTAGAAGGCATCTTTGACCATACCGATACGTCTCAGTTTCGGACTTTCCATCCTTTGTGTGAACACTTTCCAAGATACTTAAATATCTATACCTCTTTAGTGTCCTCGACCTGTAAATTGAATTTTAGGCTCATCGTTTTGCTGGTGACCATGCATTCTGTCTTCTTGTATTTTGTGCTTAGTCCCTTCTTCTCGTTCTCCTTCGCTACCTTCTGTAGGAGGGTTTTCGTAGTTTCCTTTCCGTGTCTGCTATCAGCACTGTGTCATCTGCATGTCTTATGTTTCTAAGATTGTGACCGTCAATGATAAATCCTGGTGGGATATCCAGTTCTCTCAGAATTGCATCGCTGTATGGGTTGGATAGGTCTGGTGAGAAGACACATCCTTGTCTTACACCCCCTTTCTATTTTTGTATATCTGCTGAACTCATTGTCTTATCTTTATGCAGTCAGTTTTCTGCCAGTAGAGGTTTTTGGTTATTCTAATGTATTTCCCGAATATGTCAAGTTTACTGAGTTTACCAACAGCTCTTTGTGGTGTACTTTGTATAATCTATAAAAAACAGGTACACGTTCTTCGGAATTTAAATGCTTCTTCTGAATTCTTCTGAATTCTTCTGTTCTTTCTGATAACATTCTGAGCATGAATATCGAGTTCCGGTGTCTTAAATGTCATTTTTAGAATGCATCTTTGGCCATACCAATTCTATGTGAACACATCTATAATTTGATTATATTTGTCTATATTTCTGACATGAGGTATTATGTACATTATTTACATTATTCGGACTATTGTCCTCATCTTTGTCGCCATATTAATTACAACGTTTCGGCCCTTCAGTATCTGTCTATATTTCTGAGATGAGGTATTATGTACATTATTTACATTATTCGGACTATTGTCCTCATTTTTGTTGCCATATTTATTACAACGTTTCGGCCCTTCAGTATCTGTCTATATTTCTGAGATGAGGTATTATGTACATTATTTACATTATTCGGACTATTGTCCTCATCTTTGTCGCCATATTTATTACAACGTTTCGGCCCTTCAGTATCTGTCTATATTTCTGAGATGACGTATTATGTACATTATTTACATTATTCTGACTATTGTCCTCATCTTTGTCGCCATATTTATTACAACGTTTCGGCCCTTCAGTATCTGTCTATATTTCTGAGATGAGGTATTATGTGCACTATTTACATTATTCGGACTATTGTCCTCATCTTTGTCGCCATATTTATTACAACGTTTTGGCCCTTCAGTATCTGTCTATATTTCTGAGATAAGGTATTATGTACATTATTTACATTATTCGGACTATTGTCCTCATCTTTGTTGCCATATTTATTACAACGTTTCGGCCCTTCAGTATCTGTCTATATTTCTGAGATGAGGTATTATGTACATTATTTACATTATTCTGACTATTGTCCTCATCTTTGTCGCCATATTTATTACAACGTTTCGGCCCTTCAGTATCTGTCTATATTTCTGAGATGAGGTATTATGTACATTATTTACATTATTCGGATTATTGTCCTCATCTTTGTTGCCATATTTATTACAACGTTTCGGCCCTTCAGTATCTGTCTATATTTCTGAGATGAGGTATTATGTACATTATTTACATTATTCGGACTATTGTCCTCATCTTTGTCGCCATATTTATTACAACGTTTCGGCCCTTCAGTATCTGTCTATATTTCTGAGATGACGTATTATGTACATTATTTACATTATTCTGACTATTGTCCTCATCTTTGTCGCCATATTTATTACAACGTTTCGGCCCTTCAGTATCTGTCTATATTTCTGAGATGAGGTATTATGTACATTATTTACATTATTCGGACTATTGTCCTCATCTTTGTTGCCATATTTATTACAACGTTTCGGCCCTTCAGTATCTGTCTATATTTCTGAGATGAGGTATTATGTACATTATTTACATTATTCGGCCTATTGTCCTCATTTTTGTTGCCATATTTCTTACAACGTTTCGGCCCTTCAGTATCTGTCTATATTTCTGAGATGAGGTATTATGTACATTATTTACATTATTCTGACTATTGTCCTCATCTTTGTCGCCATATTTATTACAACGTTTCGGCCCTTCAGTATCTGTCTATATTTCTGAGATGAGGTATTATGTACATTATTTACATTATTCGGACTATTGTCCTCATCTTTGTTGCCATATTTATTACAACGTTTCGGCCCTTCAGTATCTGTCTATATTTCTGAGATGAGGTATTATGTACATTATTTACATTATTCGGACTATTGTCCTCATCTTTGTTTCCATATTTATTACAACGTTTCGGCCCTTCAGTATCTGTCTATATTTCTGAGATGAGGTATTATGTACATTATTTACATTATTCGGACTATTGTCCTCATCTTTGTCGCCATATTTATTACAACGTTTCGGCCCTTCAGTATCTGTCTATATTTCTGAGATGAGGTATTATGTACATTATTTACATTATTCGGACTATTGTCCTCATCTTTTTGCCATATTTATTACAACGTTTCGGCCCTTCAGTATCTGTCTATATTTCTGAGATGAGGTATTATGTACATTATTTACATTATTCGGACTATTGTCCTCATCTTTGTTGCCATATTTATTACAACGTTTCGGCCCTTCAGTATCTGTCTATATTTCTGAGATGAGGTATTATGTACATTATTTACATTATTCTGACTATTGTCCTCATCTTTGTCGCCATATTTATTACAACGTTTCGGCCCTTCAGTATCTGTCTATATTTCTGAGATGAGGTATTATGTACATTATTTACATTATTCGGACTATTGTCCTCATCTTTGTTGCCATATTTATTACAACGTTTCGGCCCTTCAGTATCTGTCTATATTTCTGAGATGAGGTATTATGTACATTATTTACATTATTCGGACTATTGTCCTCATCTTTGTTGCCATATTTATTACAACGTTTCGGCCCTTCAGTATCTGTCTATATTTCTGAGATGAGGTATTATGTACATTATTTACATTATTCTGACT